GAGCGCCCGTTGGAGAAACACAGCCACCAGAGAGTAGCAAAATATAGGGGGAAAGGGTTCGCCGCAGTATCTTTGTATACATAGGGACATGCATATTTTTTAGCGGAAGTTGACGCGGGGGAAAATAAGTATAATTGGTCCTCGGTTAGGTGGTTGTGCCGGAGACTTGGAGGGCAAAGCGAGTGTTTAGTCTCCCCCTGCATCAGGGCTATGCTGATACGGGGGTTGTCGTCGCGTGAGTTTTTACATGTATAATATACATTCATCTACCCACGCACGCTGGTGTGCATTATCTTTCTTCTTTGCCCTCCTTCTTCTTATTCTTCTTCTTTTTTTTCCCCCCCTCCAAGTATACGGCAAGTGCTTTTATTCCCCCGCACGCGTATATACTATACGTAGGTACACACAGTTCTTTTCTCTCAAGTGGTACTCGGCCGCGAAACGGAGAGCTTAATTTTTCGCGCGCTCTCCTTTTTTCTTCCTACACACATATACGCATCGCGACGCCACAGTGGACTCTTCAATCGAGTCCCCCTATGCAGTGGGGGATTAAAGTCAATGGGCGCTAGCTAGATTTGTACTTTAGATTTTTTTTTTTAACCGAGAGGGTTCTCTTTCTCTTTGTTGTGTTGGTTTCACTTGCTCTGGTGATGTTGAGTGCGTTGTGCTGACAGTGACGCGTGCCCATACGGAGCTTGACCTGATAAGATTATACATTACGTTTTGGGGGACTGGTTAATTGTGACTTATATTTATGGAGGACTGATGAAAAACATTTTGTTTTTGCCTCGTAACTTTTTTTCACACTTTCATTGACTGCCAATTATTTTTTTAATATACTGGAATTTGCCATATTCGTACCATAATAATTTATATTAAAATCAATTGAATTACGAACAAAAGAAATTATGTTGACAATTGAACGGACTACACGCGTTATTATAATTATACACTGTTTTCTTTGTTAAAAATGCGTAAATTTCGTGTTATTTATTAGCTAATAAATGAATAGTATTTTCTATATACTTTTATTTTATGAAATATATACATTTAAGTATGTATATTGAAATATAGGGCCAGTGTTAGCATTGTTAATCCTCTTAAGAAATTGTGTACATTTTATTGTGCTGTAATGAATATTACGCCCCAGTGATATTTCGTTGAAGAGGATAACAAGCGGGAAAACCCAGAAATACAAGTATAGGATTGATTTTGAGGGAAACAGAGGAGAGAGCGAGAGAGGTGAAGATTTGTTTTTGCACGGTGTCCGCCTGCCGGATACGCTTTTGAATAATAAAATCATTTTATAGCTTCGTAATCATCATATTTGGAGATAATATATTTTGAGGTCCACTTACTTACCATAAACCATTTTTATCGACCCGTAGCCCCATGTAACAAAGGGGGAAAAGTTACCACGTCTTATCAAAGAAAACCCGACGCTGCAATTACGCAAGATGACAGAAAAAAAAGAAGAAGAAAAAAAATTTTAGCTATCTCAGTACAGTTGGCGTATACTTTTGCGGGGGAGATACAAAAACTGGTCATGCAGATAAAGGAAACAAAGTAGGTAATAACATAATATACACAAAGATCACAGCTATATGAGCTTGTGGTATATAATGGTATATAGAGCACATATAGAGGAAGAAGAAACGGGGGAAAAGAAAAACGATGAATTGTAGATGTTTGTTGCGCACTACACATTATTGTTATCATTATTATAATACATTAGCGAAGGGGGTTACATCCTGTTGCCACTACGTATTATTATATATACCTTTACTGTCCGCTTGTAGGTGTACCTATTTATATGACATACACGTATACGCTGTCCCATATATGTTCGAGTGTATATGCACGTATAGCTATATATATATATATATATATATATATATACGTTTGCGGGAAACGGATGGCGATCCGACCTTAGCGATAACGAAACGGCTGCCGCCGCCAAACCGTGTACAGGAGAGCCAGAGGAGAGTTCACGACTTGGTGCTGATGCATAATATAGTTGGCTCTGTGACTGCACAATGTACTTACACCGTAGCCTTATGCACCACGTGCATATCGTGACCCCGTATACTTACTATGTATACGTGTGTTGTGGGAGGTTGGGCAAGGAGAATAAAGCGCGGAAGCCAACGCTTTTGACGACGCGAGGGGGAAACCAAGGGGACACAAAAGTGTAAGCCGCACTCGTATATATACCGATCGCCTCTATCTCTCTCTCTCTGTGGGTGCAGGGCAGCTCGTATACTTGTATGTACTTATTACCGCTTTTACGATGCAAAATTTTTTTTATTTAGATACAAATTATTCTGCTCCAGTTTTATGGTAGGATTGTAATTGTTTTGGGAAAGCTCGAGGTTACCCCCACCTTTGTCCGAGTTACGTGTGTTACGAGTTAATGTTGTTCATTGACGATGCCAACACTTTCGTGGGAATCATTGAAAAAGTCTTGTGTAAGTTATACACGAGCTTGGAAATTACGGCGATCTACGTTTTTTATTATGTATCTCAATTTTTATAGTATTTTAATTGGGTATGTTGGATATGTTGGGATTTTTGTACTATCCTTTGGTGATTTGTGTTACTTTTCCTTCTTATTGCCAATTGCATATTTTTTGCAATAATAACTTGTAACATACAATCAACGAGTGGTACGTTGATCCTTCGTATCCCATATTTTGCAAGTTAAATAAAAAGTTGCACAATTATTTTGCCACTTTGACATTTTGACATGTATAATTGTTTATTCACAATTTTTTTGTTTGTTTTTTTTTGTTTTTTTTTGCAAAATTTTATACCATGAAATCAATCACGTATACGTGTAATCCGCGCGGCAGCACTTCTTTGTGGTCCGCAGGGAATGAGCATTTTTATGGAAAATACGAGCCAAATGTAAATAAACTCCTCGTGCCGGCTGGATTAATTTATTTGCAATGCTTCGATTGAGCAAATAAAAAAAAAAAAAAGCTATTCGTGCACTACGTTAGTTCCAAGTAACCCGTCAGAGTTTAAAATTCATCACTCACGGCGACGGCGACGCCGCAGCAATCCTCGAGCAAACCCAACGCCTCATACCGTGTATATAACATAGCGAGAGGAGCACACACGCCCACACACGTGTGCAGGCTTCGCCATCGCCCTTAGAATACCGATTTTTGCAACTAAGTATATATACGTATATTTCGATCTGCACAGGTAACGTCCAGAAGCTCATTTTTATTGACTCTATAGTCGTGAAAAACCACCTGTACATATATATATGAACACCGTATAGATCTGAATTGTTTATTTTAATGCAATTTAAATTTTTATACATGAACCCCCCAAATGTCTGATAAAATGCATCATTACGTGTAAGATATGGATGAGCGGTTGGAAGATTACTTGACCGATTTTCATTGCGTCGAAAGGTTGTCGATAGGAAAAAAAAAAGAAAAAAAAATTCAATAGTTTTACTCACAAGTGGTAAGAGCTTAGTAAAGTTAACAGTGTAATGCAATGCTTGCAGCATCGGTATATAGGTTGATTTCAACTATACTACCTTGAAAGTGTAATCTTTGTCACACTTGAGTTCACTGGTGAATTAATAATCTATGACGAAAAAACTCATCTTATTACTTCTACTGTAATATGAATGTTTGTGTTATGTGTACAACCGAGAACACCAAAAAGCAATTTCCATGCAACCGATTTTTATCAGTCAAAGGCACGCCCTCCGATAATTTGACAAGCACATTTCAATCCACGCACGGGCTTACACGCAGCTTCGACTCACCCCCTTCTTAAAAAAAAGGGGTTAAAAATCGCAGACTGTTTACAACTTACTCGGAATAAATCGTGAACGAATCATCAGCGGGGACGAAAAAGGGAGATAAAGAAAAAAGAAAAAATAAAATGAGAGATGACACGTGTCCGCCAAGCTGCCACTGCCGCCGGCGCGTGGCCTTGGTTTGGGATTTCTTCGCGTTACGTACGCGCACGCATGCACACACAAAGATCAGCGTCAGCACTCCCTCCTCCGGTTTTCTTCCCCTATATTAAAAATACAGATTGAGTATATATGGATACACTCGTCGAGAGGGAGCGTCCGTATATATATATATACACGCTGCTGCGACTATTTTTTTTTTTTTTCCTTCCTTTCTTCCTTCTCCTCCAAGTGTATATGTATATGGCTACAGCAGCTGGTACACGCAGGTGCTTAACTCTGCACCTGCGCCCCTATACATATACCTATATACGTAAGCGCACGCGCCCGCGTCCAGTGGATGACGATCATCAGCTGCATGGTTGCGGTCACGTGCGTGAGCTTTTTTTTTTATTTTATACCTGCATATACACATCCACATCGTATACCTATACACTTGTCGGATTTGCTCTCGCCACTGATGTTCCTTTTCATTGGTAACCTCCTTTTTTCCTTCTTTGTACGTAACTGTATTTACTTTGTGCAGTGCTCCACGCACGGCCCGTTGCTTTTATCCCTTTTGATGTCTCTCGCTCTTGTGATGATTATGGTGGTGGTACACATAGCTAGATAGATTTTTTTTTTTTTTTTTTTCATTTTTTTCTGTAAATTGTCGTATCCTATTTTAAAAGAATTTCGTTGAAAATAGATTTTTTTTTTAAGACTCGCTTAGTTTGGCCCTTGGTTGCACAAAAATAGATTGAAAAGGTACATACCCCCGATCCATCCCTGTGGACCCAAAAGTTAAAAAACAGTAGTGGCATCACCAGTGGGTATTTTATCATATTTGATGAAACACAAATGCCTCGACGAAGCGTCTAATTTTACTACCCCATGAGCCAACAAGTTTATACTGGCTGCTTATACTCTCGCGGCCCGGGAACTTTTAATTACTCGTATACCAGAGTCGAGTAAGCCAAGCGAGCTTTGAATAAATCAAATTTACCCTTTCACGCGCACCCACATAATATTCTGATTTAAGCAAGTCTTATGTCAACATTGTAACTTTATGTTTCAGGGTGCAGCCCCGAGCTGGGGGTGCCGGACATGACGGTCATCAGCGACATCGACGAGGTCGGCATCAACCGCAACCTCCAGGTTCGCTACAGTCGGGACGAGATTTACGTATCCTTTTTGAAAGAAAAAAAAAAAAAATTTATCGCAATCAATTCTTGTATAGACATCTTGCTTTGATTATTTGATTAAACGCGTTCGTTCGTTCCAGTATTTGGGGTTGTTGGAAAAAAAAAAAAAAAAAAAAAAAATAGGGAAGTAGCGCTCGGATGTTTAAAGAACCTACTTTTCATCACTCCACCTTGGGCTGATGTGATACGTATACACAAGTTGCTTGTAGAACACGCGGACGTAAGCGGGATTTTTCCCAAGTCGAGCCCCATCAGGTATACACGTGAAGTGTCGACTTTTTGTCGAGTAGGTGCACGTGTGTATGTGTACGTATAGGCACGGGTGGCCGAGGGTTAGTGGGCTTTAGTGCACTAGAGCTGCAGAGGAGAGGAAAATAACGAGGGGGAGAGAACGAAAAAGAAGCGACCCACGCAGGTGCGCGCTGGTTAAGTTTTTGGGTCGATGTAAATCACAGCAGCTGGCCCGAATGGCGCACTTTTTCGTCTACCGCTCTGAATTTTCTACGAGTTTACAAAACCTCCCCTCCCAACAAAGACACTATGATAACCATTTGAAAAAGCACGAAATCGATGGCTCATCAACTTTTTGTCTCTATATAATCGTATACAGTATCGAAAAGTTGTAATCACAGCATAAATGTACAAAAAAAACTGCAGGACGCACAAGTTTCACTGTGCCAATCATTTGATAAAGAAAAAAAATAAACAAACAAATTGCTGAAACTAATAGAGCTGATGAATCATCGACGTAGTTATTATAAAAAAAAATCTTGTGCATTTTTATGAAGTAGTAGGTAAACTATCATTTACAGTAATGCCAGATATTTGATGGTGGTTTAGTATAGAGAAGCGACGAATGATATCGTGTAACAAAGAAAGAAAAGAAACAAACGGGGAGATGTAAGTAAGACATTCCTTTGAGCTACGCAGCACTGAAAAAATTGTTTGTGTCGAGACTGAGAAAAGCGCTAAATCACGTAAAAAAAACCTACTGCACTCTCGCTTTATCCCTGTACGCGGGGGAGGGAGTGGGTCCATCCCGATAATTACTTTCCCGCTATCGATACGACCCTCTTTGAAGAGCGCCAGGCCAACCACAACCACGAGCTGCACCCTCCCACGTTGATTTTTCACGAAAAAAAAAAAAAAAAAAAAAAAACGACGTCCCGCGAGAAAACGAAGAAGCATCAAGGGAAAAGAAAAAAATGTAAGACCCGCACAGGATATGAATTTTGCAGGCAGCGGAGAAGAAGAAGAGAGAGTATAGGTCTGGGGTGGGTCGGCGGTGGCCCGGTCTCTCTCTCTCTCTATCCCCGGGTGTGTGTGTGTGGGTTGCTTCGTTCCCCGGTTGCCATGGAGACAGCCCTGGTACACGAGCGTATTACAGTCAGCTGGCTATATTATACACAGTTATATACACTGTATGGGTATACGTATAATTATGTGTATACCATCCCCTACTCGTGTACACATACACACCGTAATATCATGAATACATATGCAATATCAGCCTCAGACTCATTCATCTTGCGTCTCGGCCTCCTCGTCCCGTGATATGCAGCCTATATCCCTATACATGTATACACAAGTAGTTACATGTACGTATACGCGCGCGCGCGTGTGTGTGTGTACAAATGCCGAAAAGTCGCCCTCCTTACGGGTGAAAGGGTACTGCTCCGATGAAAGGTTATCGGTTCTATACGTGAATATATATGCATTTCATGCTGAAAAAATAAACCGTGTGTACCTGTACATATGTATTATAGGTGTACATTGGTATGATGTTTCTATTGGGAGAGAAAAAAAAAAGATTCGCCCAGCAGATGTCGATATGAACCGCACGCCTCGATTTGGTTCAATATATACCGGATGGTGGCCTTAATTCAACCCCGATTGAGACAAGGATGTATACACCTACTATACCCATTGATTTCCCTGCCAGGATATGCAATAATTTCCCAGCCGGTCGAACGAGACCGTCGCAACGGTGAGAGATCTGATAATCATTTTATCAGCCATACTGGGTAACCATGTCGTATATATAATACATATGAAAGTCGATGGCTCGCAAGATCAATCAGCCATCCCTTTCCTCCTCCGCGTCACTGGTTGGCTCACTCGAGCGACCGATCTACACGCACACTCATCGTCAAGGGGTTTATCACCACATCTCATCCCCAGACAAGACCCGCATCTCTTGCGCATCCTTTTTACCCATACGATCCAGATGAAATACTGTTGTACAAAAACACTGTTTTATATAGGGTAACCAGTGATTATCCTCGTGCTTGCACCATCAAGCCTCTGCCCTAGTATAAGTATACACGGCTCCGTTCCCTCGCAATATCATAACGAGGAAGAAATGCTCCACTTGGCCCCAACAAAAAGGACAAAGGAAAAAAGATATGTCACAAGACTCGGTAGTTGTAACGACTCGTTACCGCGCTCTTTCTAAATGCTCTTGTTTGATAGCCTATGTAGCTCGCGTAGGTGGAGAAGGAAAGCTCGCGTGCGCGGAAACGACGCGTCAGCGGGATGTACGTAATTTGTTTGACTCGGACTGGCAGTAGGTGTATATATATGTACTTTGGTCGCGTGGACAGCGAACCTTGGCTTTCGACGAACATCACTGCCTACTGTTTTTTTTTTTTTTTTTTTTTTTCCCTAGCCTTTCCCTGATCCGATGTTGGGGTATTTTTGTACGCGCGATCACGACAGGGGAGCATTCGCAGTGTCGGACGCGCTGTTATAATGTATGTTTACGTGCGTTGACGCGTTTTAGATAAAGAGAGAGAGAGAGAGAGAGAGAGGAACGAAAGAAGGACGAGGTGGAGGAAGAAGAATAGACCTTGCGCGTCTCTGGCTTGGATGAATGCACTTACGGGTTAGACACAGCGAGCACATCTACCCGATCCGAGGTTGGCGCCCGTGAGATCAACAGAAGCCAAACGAGGGAGGAGCGAGAAAAGACAGAGCTCCCCTTGAGTGCATACATTGTGTATACACATATATATATATATACCTATCCTGCGGGAGAACGGGGTATAACAACGCGTAATCCGCCTCCGTCGTCATTATGCCCTTATACCTCTCCGGCGCTGAAGTCGAGAGCCCTTTCTTCCTCGTTGAAAGCTGCTTCCTCTCTATCTCTCTCGCGGAATTATCCCTTGCACGCGTTACTCCCCCTGTACCCGATGCACGCTTCCTACTTCCTCTTCGGCGTTTCTGGATGCCTATCTCGCGTCCCGAGCCGACGCGTCTGGCTATAGACAATCGTCTGTGAAATTGTCGAGGGTGTCTGTTACATGAAGGGCTGTTATTATTGAGAGCAAAGTGTTGCGAACTTTTTTTTTTTTTTTTTTTTTTTTTTTTTTTTTGCGAGAAAACGAGGAGCTGATTGCTCGTTTTACATATTAGGGGTGGGATGAGAGCTGAGCTGATGAGCGTTTAAAATCAGTATACAGAGATACGGAGGAGGGCTAAATCGGGGTTTGGTATGATTTCGCACGGATTATAATTAAAAGAAAGCTGGGGGTATAGTGCATTTTTTCGATTGAAATGTGTGAGCGTGTTTATACGTTGCTTTTAACAAGAGGAAAAACATTATGAATCGTGGGCGTACATATAGCGTGGTACAAATATCAACAACTTGATTAATCACAACGACGTGTGTTTCAATTACGCGAAAAGGTTTGTCAAAATTATTGTCGCTACAGGTATTCTAAGCACAAGGGATATGCTTGACATTTCTGGGGCTGCGATTTTTCCTCGTGTATAAGTCTTGTATTTAAATTATCCAAGTCAAGTCACGCAATAGGGTATTTACCAAAGTGTCCATGAGGACGTTTCGTCGTATTAGGAACGTGTCTTTTTTTTAACGATAAACTATTACTTGTTCGTATACAGTATCTGTATACAAATATAGCTAAAAAAACAGTTTTCGATAGCAAAGACACTTTTATTTGCGCACAACCATCAAGTCTCATTTGGCGTTTGGTAAAAAAAAAAAAAAATATATGTTAAAGTATCTAAGTACCACAAAAAATCAAGTTTGATTCAATATAAAAATTTCGATTTTACCACCACATAGTTATATACCTATAATTCATAAAAGTAACCATGTAGATCGATGTATATATACGGAACAGTGAATTATAATAATCACCAGCAAATAATCCTTATCTCGCGGAACTCTATATTTTTTATCTATAATTGCGCCAAATCACGATCCCACAGAAGCAAACCTATATATACCCAAGCTTATAAAGCAATCAATAAAAAATCACGTACAGGTATAATATACCGGCAATATCGAGCCATCATCCTCCTCCTCCTTTGTTTCTACCTCTGTAGCAAAACGAATCATCTTTCACGAAGCATACCCATGATATAAGCCCCTCAAGTACAGCCGATCGATAAATACTCGTACGTACACACACACACAGCTCTCCGGCTGCTATATTCGATTAAAAAGTATATATATATGTCCATCGGGTCGGCTAGCGAGTGGTTATTTACCGATAACTCGATCGCATCCACACACACACATGCAACTCGATAACGAAATCAAGCCCCCGTCAGAGTCGAGAGTGCGTGTATGTATCCGAGGTTGGACCGAGGGGACTAATTTGATAGTTTCCACGCGCGAGGGTCATACACCCGTGGTGGCGATGGACAGGCGCGCGGGAGCCTGCAGGTAAATGCTTAGCCCCTGATGGACCGTATATACCCTAATACGCGGTGGAGGGAGATCTGTGAGAATTTAAACCTCTTTTCTCCTTCTCATACGTGTTCTTGATACCCATTGGATGCAAGAGCTTTCAAAGGATATTGTACTAGCGCTAATGGCATTTTTTTACGACAATTATACAAGTTGGGGAGGCCAAAAGTCCCTCAATATCAACACACGCAAGTATAGGTATCGGGTATTTGTATTTTTCATCGATGCTTAGGAACGTCAATACATTCGGGCCGATGTATATTTAATCGCATTGATACGTATGTACACTCGTAGGTGCACGTATATATACATATTTATGTATGCGGGTCATTTGAAACCTTACCTTGTAATCTAACGGTACGTATACGTATAACACGCGTGTGAATAACGTTCGTGTTTATATCCTTATGTATAGGTGTCGATGGGCGTGTAAAATAAATTTTAGCCATTTTTTGCAACGTACCTCGTACACGCGTTCATCTAACGCAAAAAAAAAAAAATAAATAAATAAATAAACCCGATGAACTTGCAACCATCCCCGGAGATGAAAGCGGTGTACATGCAGGTATTCCGCGATTTGTCCCCATACATCGTCGTGTCATCTCGCAATTTTCGCAAGTAGGTATGCACAAATTGCACGTTCTCGTTGGAAGCACTGCGCGTGTTATATATACATAAGTATATGTACTGTTGTAACTTGCAACGACGACGTCTATCTTCCCACCGGAGCTGAACGCCCACATGAGCATAAACACGTCATCCCGCACTTGGTTTGCTTTGTATATACCTAATATATATATAGGTAACTCTGTGTAATGAGTTACTCGCGTATAAAAGCCGCATTAGACATCGTATACAGCGTGAAAATGGGATTAGAAAAGGCATTATCGGCTTTGGCTCGTCGCGTGTACCCATTACTCTCTCTCTCTCTCTCTCGCGTGTTTGATCTAACGTGGGTATCGTCGTCGAAGGGTTGAGGAGGTGGAGGATGGAAAAAAAAGGGGTTAATGGGGAAACGACGCAAGTGTATTGAATGGTACGGTGCATCGTGTGTATACTTGTATCCTCTCGCGTTGCAGATAGTATAGGTATACCTACACCTACTTGGGTGCACTGCTTCATGCACTCTCGTTGTTGGGGCGCGCGTTAGCTCGGGATTCCAGGCCGAGTAGGCAAAAATCGATTTCCCAAGCCTCCCCCCCCCTCCCCTTTCCATGTGCACCTTGGGTGTGGATCGTGTTTCGTTGGGAAAAAAAAAAAATGAAATCTCACCCTCTCGCTTCCTTTTTTTTTTTTTTTTTTTTTAATCTTTCAGAGCAAGTAAAAGGTAACGCGGAGTCGCTTGAATCTTCGTTGTAGGGTTAATATGATGTACCTATACTCGTGACATATACATCGCGCGACGAGCGCACAATTAGCACGAGTCACCGGGGATGCGTCCTCGTTAATCCCCTCGTTGGGCGACATCAGTGCATAATATGGGTCGCTTCAATTATTTATGCAACGGTAGATGATTGAAAAGGGAGCGTTTGTTTATGTCCATCGTACGTTATTCACATTCAAGGATAAGTACTCGCTATGTGCATAATATATGGTGTGTAGCGTTTTCATATGAAGACATCCCTGGATGTGTGTGTATGCGTATCACGGTGACGCAATACACCCGAAAATCTCAGCGAGCCTTAATCTGTAATGTACATGTACGCATAGATAAGGTCAAAAAAAGGGGACTTTTTTTATACGATGCGCATGATATATCTATATAGCTGAGGGGGTGACGGTGCGTGTTTGCCGAGCCGTCGATTTGACGTATCGCCTCGAAATTGGGTCGAGCTGTATATAGCTGCGAGAGGGAAGAGCGCGTTGCGCTATTTATCGATATACCTATGTGTATGTGCTTCTTTCATGTTGCTGTTGATGCTGTGTCCTTCTTTTTTTTCCCCCTTGATTCCTCGGTATTGCCAAGTTTTTCTTTCACTCCTGTGCAGATTGTTGGCATGAACTTTCTTTCATGTCTTTTTCCCTTTTTTTTTTTTTCGCATTTTATATTATCCAGATGTATATTGCGAGACGTGACCCGGAGAAATGAGACGTGTATACCCATGGCTATCCTTTGAGTTTAATATTTTTTAATTAGGAATAATAAAACAAAACTTCAAATTGCTAATTTTTACGTAAATAATGCAGATATCGCGAAAAGTACGGTATTTCGTGATCATGAAAATAACAAAAAAACATTTTTTTTTTTTTTTAATCCGTGGGACTTGGGCCATACGTAAAACGATCAAATATTCGTTTCTCCAATATCCTACGGATAAGCTTACAGTATTCCAAAAAGCTGTATTGGAAAAAAAAACTTATTCCATTTGCCGCGAGGATGTAACGAATGGGGACGTTTTTTCATTGATTTGGGTCTGTATTTGTTTGGAAATGAAAAAAATTGGGTATTCCGACAAACGAGTATTTTTCCTCTGTTTGAAATGTATAGGAAAGTATTAGAATACAATCAAAAAAAGGTTTGCTGAGCGTTTGCAGGGCGCGAGCGGGTTGTATTTTTTCGACCCAAATGACAAGTAGATTTTTGCAAATTCAATAACGTTTCCAGAGCAAATTTTTTTTCTTCGATTCGAACGGTAGACTTGTTTTTTCGGACGCTTATTCATCAATGTCAAACATCTATACCTTTTATTTCCTTCTCCAGGGACTGTTGAGGGAAAACATTCTGTGTGTGGACCAAATGATATAAAAGAAATGATTTTTAAATCATCCATGAGTCACGTTCACATACAGGTTTCTCTATAATAAAAATAAAAAAAAATAAAAAAATTTTTATAAAATAATCAAATGTACAATTACAAAAAAAAAAAAAAAAAAAAAAAATTCAAGCAATCCTTTTTTTTTCAATAATATTGCAACCATCGTCCTCACCCTGACATATTATGCTGTTACTCGCTTCTAATTTCTGAAAAGTGCCTGTAAATGTATATAAGCATTACACCCCATCAGCTGATTGAGAAATTCAATACTCAACTCGAGCAAAAACAGTGGAAAAAATAAAAGGCAACCTTGCACTTCAGAGTACACGCACAGCCGCACGTTAAACTAATCCTCTCGACTTCGCGCGACAAAATTTCAGCCCCTCGGAGGAGAAACAGTTTAAACGACCAGTTAGTATCGATGTTACACACACACACGCACACGGCTTCTTCTTCCCCTTTTATTCTGCACACCATCACTGGTGTAAGCGTGTGGGGAGCCAAACGCGCATCATTACCACTGTATGTACGTAGGCCACAGCGTGAGTCATCCCTTCGGAGCAACAACCCCCCCGTTCGTGCACGCGCCGGTGACGTCACGCGCGAGCTGCTGATGCCTCTCTCTCCTTCTTCAAAACCTATGGGGGATGATTTCGTGCGGCACTACTCTCTAACGATTGTCTGGCGAAGAAGGGCGGAGGGTAGTGTGCACGCGAGAGTCGTATAGTCGTAAATGCTCGTTTTTATGCCCCTACCGCCGTTGCAACGACCCTAGCTGTGGGTACGACGACGGCTCGATACTTAAATTCGATCGGCTCGCTCTCGTAGGACGGGACACATGGTATAGGTGTGTACTTGTGCTTGAATGTGACGCGTGTGTCGGTTTACATGCGTGTAGCTGTGTTTCAGCTTCGGGGGTAGATTTTGCCGATTAGATTCGTTTGACGATCGAATTTGCATAATTCATGAGGGTATAATATATATAGCTTTTGGTCAGCTGTTCGCTGATAGTGGGAATGTCCCGTGTTGGTATGCTGATGCTCATATTATTTTCGTCCCTTTAATTGTGTCATGCACGTACACGGATGATTCACGATTGAACGTTGGAAGGTGCTTATTTTTTATTGGCTATAGTGCCGGGTAATTGATACGTAAAAGAACCGTTTATGCGTGGACGCAAGGATAGTAAGCTGTTTTTTGCACATCATACCTACAAATGACACCTCATCTCCCACCGATTTCATCATTGCCCTTTTGTCCTGGGGGGGGGGGGGGCTGTTATAATTTTTACTATTTTCTCAAACGCAGATAACAAAAAATAAATATAAAAAAAAAAAAAAGAGCAAATTTTCTTAACAAACATGTATACGCAGACGTACACGGGATCGATCCTGATAGCTGTCAACCCGTACAAGGAGGTCGACTTTTACACCATGGTGAGTAAGCCATACAATTATTTTACACATCATCCTAAGGAACAATCGATCGTCGTTATTCTCACATAATTTTTTTTTCCCCCAAAGTTGTAAAAAGAAACAGCACCTCATGCATTAAAAAATATAATGTATACTCAGGTGGAACAGTTTCAAATTGTCGCACGAAACAAATCAAAGAATAAGCAAGTATAAATTGGACGTGCGTTTCCCGATATAGCTCCTCTGTATAAGCATGTAAAAGGGAGCAAAAGCTGCATGTACGCGTGTTTTTACTTACAACGTGTCGGCATGCACGCGCACAAAAGTCGAGTATAGTTCCTTTGCGAGTACCTCCTCGGCACAGAGTGGAATATACGATACTTACTATTATATATTTATAGACATGTGCAATATATATATATAGCGTCGCTAGTTGGCGGCAAAAGCGCATATCCGGGCAGCAGCAACGAATCGACGGAAGTGTCCACCGGGGAATAGTAAACTCGCGCGTATACGACGCCTTTTGACTTCCTCTTGGCACATGTGTTTATATTATAAGTACACCTACGTGTGCGCGCGATACATCTTTGTTATACAAAAAACAGCACGCGTCGATCCTTTTTTTTTTTTTCCCTCCCCTTTTGTTTTTCTTGGTCCTTATTTTCGGCAAAATACTTAATTACGCGCTGATGCTTCCGAGAAACGAATAAAAAGGGTGTCTAATGCCGCGTATACGGAAATGACTGGCTTCCGAAGCTACCGGAGCCAACCGGAGTGAGGTTGTACAGGTTCGATCCAGGTGAGGATGACGGGGGCTTCCCTTTGTTGCGAAGGATGTAGAGTATAAACAAGTAGGCCGGGGATCGGCTGATTTGAAAAAAAGGGGCGTCGCGAAACTAGGACGAACTGGAATCGATGGAATTTTTTTTTTTTTTTTTCGCTACGGTCGAATCAGTGAGACGTGGATTTGTCAAGTTGACGGTAATAACAGGGTGCGGACTGCCTATGTGTAATTGAGTTGACTTGCTTGGGCCGTCGTTGGCGAGGCTGAAACCTTACTTGCACTTTTTTTTTTATGCGCGACAGTGACATTGTCAGGACCGGGATAGGTGTCAACCTCGTGGATCATTCATACAGCAGGTGTAGCTCAAATGACTGGTATATCCAAGAGAGTTTGCGACAAACGGAGTTGTATCACGCAAATTATGGTCATCCGTCAATGTCTGGATGCATAAAAGTTGCACCAAAATGAGTGGCCACATTTAGTTGTTACGTGTATAGCTCCCTTTAAAAGCCCTTCGCTCCAGCTAAGGTTTACCCTCCATATAGCCATCCGCAAAATAGCAGATCCAACATATATACAATACAACAAGCGGTTGGTGCATTCTTAGAGTATGCCTTGTATTTCGCGTGTGCGTGTGCGTGCACTAGCAGTATAGAAGCAGCATCAAGAGCCACGGACAGGAAGCGGAAGCCGCAGCAACGAGATATCAGAGAGAAAATACATGTACTGTATAGTCCAAGAGTCTGTATAGCTGCCAAGCGAGTTGGTTTGGTTATTTGTACTCTAGTTTTTCTAGGTCGCGCCAAGAGGGAATTAGCGAGAGTAATATACGTTTAGGTGCGACCTGTCGCTCCCGTAAATGTGTAGCTTAAATCGGCTTTGTTTCAAAGGTGGATCAGCATTGTTTTCTTCCACCGAAAACTTTCGGCTTTTTTTTTTTTTCGCGGTCCAACGCATCGATTTCTGTCGTCATTTTAGGCGCCATATAATGTTGCAAAGTTGCAAGAGCACAACTGATTAACCGTACGTATATATAAAAACAACTCTCTCGACGAATGTTGCTCTTAAAATTAGACCCTGTGCCCTTCATTGCTCTCTTTGCCGGCAATAAATCTACCGTCAGCTATATACACACACACCTTCCCCGTTTCTCGGGAAATAAGCGTATATATATGCGTGTAGATTAACAAGGGTCATGTATTACCATCACCATCATTATTATTATTATTATTATTCTTTCCCTTCTATTTTTGATCGCGTGTGCATTACGCGTACGTGTCGCAGCCACGGGGATAGAGGATCAGCCATTAATACCCGTATATATATATATATACGCACTATCGGCCGTTACTCTCGAAGCCGCACTCTCGGAATCGCCGCTATTTTCGGTACCAAACGCGCGCACGCGCTCCGAAAAGTCCATTGTGCCCCTATACGCGAGCAGCCCTCTCGCCGCTGCGCTGCTTATTTCGGGATTGACGAGTGCACTTGACGCACTTATGGGAGTCTGCTGCCGGTCGGTCGGGCCCCTTTTTTTTTTTTTTTTTTTTTTTTTTTTTTTTCTTTTTCATCTGCGTAGGGAATGGATCGCGACGTGTGCGATTAACGGGAACGAACGAGCGAGGCGGGACTCCCGATATTTCCAAAGCGAACGAGGTTGCTGCCGCTGATATGCTGTCACGATCGTATACCCGAGGCATATATTTTTTTTTTTTTTTCGTCGCAAAGTTAATTACAAACTTTTCAAAACGTCTATATGTCGCGCCTGAGATGTATATGTATATATATGCGCTCGCAGGGAGCGTATAACAAGTAGGAGGTAAAGTTCCAAAAGTTAATGGCTCGTGGTGGCCCGATGGGCACCCATTTCCGTGGATATAAATTCTCGCGATGGAATCGAGCAACCGAGTGTTCTCGGCAAATTTCCCGCTAAGCTCCTCATGCACAAGTTGTCGCGTTAAAAGCTCGGCACTTTTATCGACACTCTCGTTCCGTATGATCCGCTTGAACACACTGTGTTCAATTCCGAGACAGAATAATGTATATAGGTATTTAGTAAATAAACCC